GCATCTCTTATGAACGAACTCAAAACATCATTGTCAACGAGTTGGGTTTCCACAAGGTGTCTGCGAGGTGGGTTCCGCGACTGCTTTCAGTTGAACAAAAAAGGATGCGATTGACTATTTCACGCGACTGTTTGGAGTTATTTGAAGCAGATGCAGATGATTTTTTGAATCGTTTTTTTACTATGGACGAAACATGGGTTCATTACTGTACACCGGAAACAAAACAACAATCAAAACAGTGGAGAAGACCTGGTTCACCACCCCCTAAAAAGGCTAAGTCGATTTTGTCGGCAAATAAGGGGATGGCTTCAGTATTCTGGGACTCGAAAGGTGTGATTATGATTGATTATCTTGAAAGGGGTCAGACTATAAACTCTGACCTTACTACGTCGTTTACGAGAGGAAATAAAAGAAAAACGTCGAGGAATGCTCAGAAGAAAAGTCCTGTTTCATCAAGATAACGCCCGTGTTCACACGTCAGTACAGTCAATGGCTGAAATTCACAACTGTGGCTTTGAACTGTTACCGCATCCGCCGTATTCACCTGATCTGGCACCATCAGACTTCTTTCTGTTCCCTAACCTAAAAAAGCACTTGGGAGGTCAAAGATTTTCGACAAACGACGAAGGTCAAAGCAGCTGTAGACGCATATTTTGACTCTAAGGAAGAATCATTTTTTTTTCAACGGTCTAAATGCTTGGAAGGGGAGGTGGCAAAAGTGTATTGAACTTGATGGTGATTATGTAGAAAAATAAAAATATAACTGATTTAGTATGTGTTTATTTTCTTGGTTAGGCCGAGTACTTTTCAATCCACCCTCGTAAATCTGTAGAAAAATTATTTGTTCACGGTTCACGCAAAAACTACTGGACGGATTTCCATGAAAATTGATGTGTACGCAGTAAATGATGGCATATAACATATGGGAAACTTTTTATCCACGTAAGGAAAATTAAAAAAAGAAGGTTTCTTTTTTTTTAAACGTTTATTGTCGTAAAGGTTGTGGTGTTTCTATGAGTCACAAAGAGTATTTAGCTATACGTATTACGTTAAATAAGTCTATATAGAAAAGTGTGTGTGAAAATGAGAGTCATAGCGTAACCAACCAGAAAGTGCAGAATGACGTCTGTCGGGCTAGCTATGTAATAATATGCGTGGTAATGCCACGCTGCAGCTATATTATGGTGGAAGCACGAAAGGATTGGCTCGACCGGGGTAGGACCACGCTCTCACAGAATACAAACGTAAAATAGCATAAGCAAGAACAATCCATTTTAGTCCGCAAGGCTGACAACACATCTGCATTTTGATTCTGAACCGAGGTTAAATGTAGATGTGTATGGGCCACAATATCCACTTACCATCAGGTGGACTGTGTGCTCGTTTGTCACCTTATTTTATAAAAAAAAAAACCATGGCAGGTGTACTATGTCCTTTTCATCACATCAGCCTTTTAAAGTGTACTGCTTAACATGGGCCTCCTTGTTAGCATTTCATACTTTGCACATGGATTGGGAATCGCAGTACTAACTTTACGTCAGGTTTAAACGAGTCATTAAGATACATGACCACAAACAACTCGGATAAGAACTAATGTATATGCATCACAAAGCTATTTGTAATCAACATAAAATATAGCTCCATTTTTAAATGTGTCTTTAGCTTTAGTCATTTGAAAAGCGTTACAGAAGTCTATATGCAGTTCTTCGGTATTATGTTATACGCGGTACTTTTTATGCAAACCTCGTTGGTTGCACTGCCTCGTTGGTCTGGTCGCTTATCATGAGGTTCCGGGTTCCAATCCCGGGTCGGCACAAAATCAATTACCTATTAGCTTTTCCTGTCAAGAAAGTCCTGCGCCTGATCTCTCTCCGGTCGTGTCGGATTACCGTCACATTGGACTATGGGAGTGAGGGAATAGAGTGCACTTATGCTTGCGCTTACACTAGGGCACTATAAGATTTTTAATGGTGTAACTTGACATTAGGGCATCAAACTTAGTCTTCCTGCGACCAGGGGTGTTGCATAGTAATCCAAACATCGGGAGTTATAAAAAAAACGCAATAAAATCCGTAAAAATGATTTCGATTCAAAAAAAGATCAAATGATGATTTATCCTAAAGGAATTTATCAATTGTATTAAAAAGAAATTTTAGAGATACGGCAACACTTTTTGTGATTGGACTCGTAAAGAGATTTCATATTAGTCCACAGGGGTGGCAATGCATCTGCATTTTGATTCTTAATTAATTATAACTGTAGATGTATATGGCTCACAGCATCCAGTTACCATCAAGTGGACTGTGAGCTCGTGTCGTGTTCGTGTAAGTTGTCTTGTACATGTACAGGTATCGCATTTGTGGTCGGACTTATTAGTCCTAATCCAAAAAAACTGCTGGTGAGAGCAAATTATAAATAAAAGTATTATGATGTTCTCTGAGCACTAACACTAACACCCAATAGTAAATATGATAATATCAAATGCAAGGATGCAATGTTTTAAATGATACTAAAGTGATAATATGGTTGCATAATGGTTAAATAAATAAAATACATGATAATTATTTGTAGAATAACAATATGGTACCACTTATTGTCTATCATAATTTCCTTATCTAGCTTTAGTATGAATTTTTATATTCTACATTTTACACAGTATCCAACATAATATGTGTGTGTTTAAAGTGGAGACAGAGTGAACCTGAAACAAGAGATTGACAGCAGCATCTTCCTGGTAACAATTGGAGCAATGGAACTCAGCAAAATTCCAATATTCCGGCAAAAAGAGATCTACTTCAGCAATGTACATTTATTGACTCTAATAGATGGATGGATTGATGTAAGTTTGGGCCTGTTCTTACACTAAGTTGAGCATGGTTTTGATGTCAATTAAAATGTACACACCTCTCCATCTATTTTTATATTTCTTGGCCTAAGTATTGTCCTCCAGACAGTTTTGGCCATGATGGCCAGTCTCAACTAGCTATCAGTGCAGGACAGGGTGAAAGTGCCCAAGTGTAGGTGCAAAACAGAAACTTTTTTTATTCAATATAGAATATAAATAATACTTATTAAAAGTCAGTTTTTTTAATTTACCACTGGTTCAGAAAAACTTCTGCCCTGAGAAGACTTTTTAAAACAGCTTACAATCATGTATGTTACAATTTACAACACAAAACAAATTAGAAATAGCTTGATAGCGATCAGCAAAGACAAGTGTACTCTCTATTCCCTCGCTCTCATAATCCGATGGGACGGTAAGCCAAGACGACTAGAGAGAGAACAGGCGCAAGAACACAACTTTTTGTGCTTTCCAAGGCATGGGATTGAAACACCGCCATCTTCTTGACTCCGGGCTGCTAATAAGAATTTCTCAACAATAAAACCCTATAACTGACTTTGGTTTGACCCCAGGACATCAAGATTAGCAGCCGTGCAAAAAGCCACCAGACCAAGGCAGTCAATTTGACTGGTCTAAATATGAGTAATGGACAAGAGCATAATTTACTGCCAACACTCAATTCACAAAATCAGTAAGAGCACAGGTCATTCCCAATAATAAATTCATAATTAAATAAAAAATAATTCAATTAAAAACAAATTATTACAATCAGTGACAATTCTGATGCTATACCTTCAAATTTTTCAATACAAAATCCAATGCAGTTTGTAATGAATGATAAGATCAAAAACAAATACACATTGCATTAATTCAAGCATGAAGTAGAAATGCCATAAACTCTTATCGAGTAATGAAAATTAAATTCAATGGTGTATGAAATTTAATTAAAGTTAGAGTATGCCTATAGTTATGGGATGAGTGCTCACCTAGAGTTTAATTATACCAAATAGAGACTTACTAATTATCTCTAATTATGTAATTAAATTTAATCTATATCATTTGGTGGGTGTCAAGAGGCAACGGAGGAAAATGGAATAAATACATAGGCAGGAAATAAATAAAACTTGCCAACCTGCTTGCCAAGTGTGGCAACTTAAATACCGCCCAAATATCTATTAGAGAGGCCTATGTTCAGCAGTAGAATTTTGATAGGTTGTAGTTATATAGTAATGGACGTTTAGGTAGTTTCCTACTTTGGTAAAGTGTTGCCATCAGCAGCTTTTATCTACATAAAGCATTTACATTTAGTGAGGAAACGCTACCAGTTCTTGACACAATACCACATAGAGTAAGACTATGATAATTAAGTTTGTTATACATTATTTTGTATAAATTTCATTAATGTTAATAAAATAGTGTATTGAAAACAATGTCTTAGAAATGAAGGAAACAACAATAAAAAACCTGTCTGAGAAACAAAATGTATTCCAAATTATTTTAACATGAAAAAAAAAATGGGTCAGTGTAGAAGTTTTTGTTCTTCCATTAACCCCAAACAGCTTTGCCCAGCATTGGAACTTTAGAAGGTAGTAACAATATATGGCATTTACATGTTTGACTTCATTACACATGGAGTAGGGTTATTTAGTATATTTCCACAGAATATAAATTTAAGAATTTTGAACTGTGTTGTGGTAGTGTACAAAAATGATACATAACAATGCAAGTAAAATGTGAGATATAATATGGGATAAACAGTAACTAAGATACTATTAGTATAAAAAGTAATAAAAGTATAAAAAAAAGCGTATCTATTATTCAAGCAGTCTCACCGAACAATTTTCATTTGATGGACATAGTATCATTTTCCTTGACTTTTCTACATATGAATTATTAACTAGCTATAGCTGTGAAACTTAAGTACTTTACAGAATATAGTTATCTGACCTATTAAATAAATTAATAATTATAAATGTGTTTTTTTTTTTTGTTTTAAAAAGATGATTTTGAATGCAAGAAAAGCAGAGTCCATAACAATTAAGAATATTTGTCAATTCATCACTAATGGAGAATGTTATATCACTTCTTAGAACAGATTTTTAGAGCTAATTAGAAAAATAGTGAAAATTATTTATACATGAAATGGAATAAAAGGTTATTACTCACCTTTATATCTTGCTAAAGTCATATAAAATGGTAGCGCCCCACTGGACGAGAGTTCACAGATGGGATGAATTGTTGATCCTTCGAAGAAGCTGGCACCAGGGAAACACGCGACTGCCGGGAACACCAACCTGTCACAACCAAAGAATGTTCCACTATAATCTAGAAACTATACACACCAAAACTATTTGTAGTAGGTAGTTGATAGCAAGTGGTTTAAATCAATAGTTAAACTAAATTTGCAAGCCGAAACGTACGCACCAGCTGGCGAAAACGTGGTGTCTAGTGCACCTATGTATGTATATATGTAAATATGGATTGTAGATATTCGATATTACTATGTACCTGCCACTGTGTGACGAAGCACCTCGTGAATCCTTACTCTATATATTTAGGATAAATTTCACCAATTTGACCGCGATTCACGTTACTACAAACGAACGTAAAATAAATTAAGTCTCATTAAACGAGTACACGAAACCGTGGCTAAAAATGACGACAGAAAATAAATGAAAATGTACACTTTCTTATGTTTCTGGTTGGAACTATCTTCACACCGGAAACCTGAACTTTTTTTAAACTTGAAACAACGAACATACTAATATATTTTAAATCATTGAAATTTTGACCAATAAAATATTTCATTTCTGTTTTGTCGGGTTTTTTGTTTAATAACAACAATTTCCAATAATTGGGAAGGAATAAATACGACAAAACCTTTCAAGACATAAAATACATACCAAACAGGAAATACAACTATAAATCGATTGTATTGTCTTTGACTTCTGCTGACAATGACAATATTGTTTTAGTTTTCTACAATACGAATGCGATTTGAAAATAAAAAGAGTTATTATACCTTAAAGAAATAGTTTTGAAACAAATAATTAATAAAATAAAAAATTGGATATATTTTACATGTCGGTGGAATGAGTCAGAGAACTGAAGTGAAAAGATGGGAAAGTCATCAACATTACAAGATTACAACCCTTCACAAATCCTTTGCTAAGCATCTTATCATCCAGGCATCCCCTGAGGAATATTATTTTTTTTGAAAAACGTTACCTCCACACTAGGATTTTCTCCTGTATCGAGGGGGCAGTTTACAAACATAAATTTCACAAGGACAAACATCCAAACCCGGAACAATTAATTGTAGGCCATACAATTATTTGTTCCGTATTGGATTCGAACCCGTGAACCTTAGCGCTATAACTCATTGCTAAGCCACTGCGCCACGGAGCCGTCCAATCATGTATGTAAATCATGAATGAAGTACCATCCTGAGCCATCGTCAGGTCGCCACACTATCAAGTGGCGGGTTGCCCAGCACCAGGTATATAAAAATACTCTGTTCACAACATTTCGCTTTTCGACACGTACACCAGAATCAGAAAAAATTCTAACAAAGATATTATAAATAAACAATATCTTTGTATTATAATTTTATTAAAATGAATGGCAATTTTACACTTTCGCGCTCCCCTCGTTTTTTGGCTCTAGAAAATCGGAAAATCATCTGATTTCGATGATTTCTTAAATCTTCGTATTTATGGCGGATTTACGAAAAAAAATGGAACATATCTCACTTTCATATAGTTTTATGACTTTAAATATGGTCATAAACGCACTTCTTCTAATATAATCGTTCATAACTTGTTTGCAAAGTATTAAACGAAGTTTATATTTTTTTGTTAGTCTACAAAAAAAACGAAAATATAAAAAAAACATTTTTTTTTCGAAAATAAAATCACATAATAATGTTTATTCATTAATTTTTCAGCGAAGCGAGATCATGTTAGATTAGAAGGAGATGGTGGGATCGAGTGAGCGAGCGAATAGACCCCGTCATCTCCTTCGTGGTTATTTTTTTTATAAACCACTCAGAAGTAGGAGCCCCGTAAAGTGGGGTTTCGTCGACCGGACTTCCCTCGACTGCGCTACGTTGAGTGGCGTGGTGCTTCCCCTTGCCTTGCCCCTTGCTTGCCCCCAAACTCTCTCCATAACAACTTCATTCTATTATTTAAAAAAAAGATGTTAAATATTAAATTATAAGTGAATGAGTATATTTTCATGAACATTTAAAGCCCTGAAATCAATATAAGTTTTAATTTTTTTATTCCTTTAATTTTTTTCGTATATAATTTATAAAAAAAAAAAAAGGATTTTTTTTTTTTTTTTTTTTTTATTGAGGTGATGGGGTTGTTTTGATTTTTCATTTGATTTTTGTTTTAGGTTTTTTTGCACAAGGTTTCCGCTTTAATTTTATATGGGGGGTTTTTTGGGGGTGGGGCGTTTTTTTGTTTGGTCGTGTTTTTTTATTATAAAGATTAATTGGGGAATTTTATCAACAACAACCTCTATCATGGAGGTTAGAGAATAGGAGAACAATCACTATGTGCTAAAGCATAGCCCGCCTGTTCCTGAAAATTTGTAGAATTTATAGACGCGCTGCCGTCGGTAAGTAGTATCTGCGAAGTAATTTTTTTAATTTTTGACAAAAAGAAACATGAAAAATGGTGAAATATTATAAATAAAATAATACGTTAATAATTAATAATTTATAATATTTATAATAATTAAAATTATAAAAACATTATTGATACAACTTAGCGATCGCTGCGCTTCACTTATTTTGTCCATATTTCTGGGACACTATTTTCTACAGCGATCGTTCTCCTTTTTTCTAACCTCCATGACCTCTATGATAATTGACAAATGACAGACAGGTAACAGCGACAAAGATTTGATGAAACTTTATATAAAAAAGTACTTTGTGAATCCGTGATGCAATTGCAAATCAAAGATAATTTGTTTTAACAAGGTTGCGCACTTACGACTGACAAAACGAGCTGAGCGAGATAGGGCTTTTTAGGGATGCGTCCTACTCTATTAGGGTGTACACGATTTGTTGCTTCGTGGAAAAAGGACAATGTGATGCTAAGGGATTCTCCTATATTTATTTTATTGAGAACAATAAACAAGGATTACAATAATACACATGACATTTATCAAGAAATATGGTTGCGCGGAAAACCATTCGCGTTTTTTATTTGACGGTAGGAACTTGTAGAATCATTATTCCTTTCCAAACAATATCATTCGTACCCTCCTATCGACACATCGGGGTGGTGGGGTGGGAGGGGAAAGAAGACGATTCTAGAACATCGCGTAATCACCCGAGCCGAGGATATATAAGACACGCCCGACCGATGCGCGAGCCTCTTCTCCCGCCGCAGTCGTCGTTGAACCAACGCTTCTCTCCTGACGCACCACTGGGGCCCCAGAGTGTCTGTCCAGAGGAGGTTCCGGAGGTCGCCGCCATAGTGATCGACAGGAAGAAGAAACCCCGGTGAGTCAATATTCCTTAATTATACCTGCTTGCTAATAGTTTAACCCGCTCCAATCTGTGTTTTTTTTTCCTAATCAAGCAGGATTCCTTTCATCGATTCGACAAGTAATAGTTTAGTTTAGGGAAGAGCGAGTGCATTGTACCGCATGCTATAGTAGTCGCTTTTACGTAAGCGTAGAAGCAGTCGCATATACAGTCCACTTTAGTTAATATCTCGCGTAATAGGTTTGAGGTTTGACCGGGAACTAGACTCTCGGCAGCCTTAAACACGTGGCTCCACCAAAATATGTATGATCTAATTCGTCAAAATGGTGGAACAACTAGGTTGCCTTTCGAATCCGGAGCGAAGGAACCACAAAATGCTTAGATCACAGGGGTCTCAGGTTCGATTCTCGATTCATGGTCTCAAAATTATTGGGTGCGTGAATAATAAAAGTAGACTGTATTTAGCGTGGTTCACTGTAACCAAAACAAAATATTTTGGACAATACTTACGAAAATCTAATTCACTATATTATCCGGCATGAAAGGAGCATGAGCTGCTGTGAGAAAAAGGAATAACGAATAAAAACAGCTTACCTAGGGTATCCGGCTCGCGGCTGGTGGCACGACATTGCAACTAATCAAGTGGAGCGCACCGATAAATGCACTGGGGTTGACTGTTGAACGCCACGGCAAATTAATTGCACTAAAGCACGACGAATAACACTGTGGAAGCGGTCATTACGAAGGTTTGTACTGTTCTGTGGCTCGACTCCCACAGGTGCTACCACAGCGAAAATGGCGATATATATAAAAATCTCAGCTTTATATATAAAAACTTGTATTACCTACTCACTCTATGTTAAGAGAGAAAAGTGAAAAACTGTAGATATTAAAGTCAGTTTACGGTCGCAGCGCTTTTGGTGCGGATTGAATGTTTGACAGATAATAGGTATCGCTTTGAAAATATGTCATAATGCGTTGTATATGGATGATAAATGTTCACACCAACACGCCCACGTAACATTGAATCCTGTCAGACAAAACATTAATTCATAACATAAATCACTTTAGTGATATGGAAAGGTAGAGGATTTTAGTAGACTAAATAAAAGATATAATAATATACATCGTATAGAAATAATAATATCTATGATTTTACAGAAAAAAGAAATATCTGACCAAAATAAATATGAACACCCTACTTCAAGCATTAGAAAGTTATTTACCTATGAAAAGATACACCACTTCCTTTGTATTAGTAACTTTTGCATCCTTTCACTTCTACTTTTCGCAACAAGTGAGAACCATTTTTAATTGTTTGAACAAGATAAAACTTGAAACTTTTGGGTAAAATAAAATATCTTTGATCGATTCACACAAAGTATACGCTATATTGAAGATTGTAAGACACTTAGAGTTGCTCAGTTATTTTTTGTAAAAATTGCCAAAACTACGACTCTTAAACAATCCAAGTAGTTAACACGGTTGGAATTTATGCATTATTATAAATATTTTCTTATAAAGCCCTCTTTATTTTTATTTAATAATTATTTAGAATTATAACAAGAACAGAAATAAAAAATATCATTTATTTAGCGTAATACTAAGCATAGATAAATAAATATGTAGATATAAACCACATGCGTAAGCATCATAGTAGTCTGTGGTTTGCACAGACGTAGACGATTTACCGTATGCATTAGACTACTCTATGATCATCTATGATATAGATAAAAAGGTCGAAGAAAATGCGGGGAGAATGATTTAATTTCAATCAATATTATTTAATTTTATATTTACAAAAACCGAAAGTTCGGTTGTATAACTGAATTTAATCAATAAATTTCACATTAAATTTTTTCAGTTTTCGATAACAAACTGCAATGGTACATGAGTAATTTTCTTTAACTTTCATAGACGTTAAGGTTAGGTGATTTATCAAATATTTCTTTTTATTACAGCATTCATGTCGACAATTATTATATAGCCCAGCCCGGTGGAAATGTGTTTTACCTGTTAATTTAAAACCTACTGCAATTATTTGCCAGCCTGACCAGGTAAGTGATCTACTTGAAGATAAACTAAAACAGACTGAGGAATGATGAAATACGTATTGCTCAGAATACGTATATAAAATTTGTATTTGATTGATAGTTAATGGAATTAGGCGTTACTTTACGGAAATCTATTATATTAACGATGTTAAAAATCAAGCAGCTAAGATCCATGAATAAAATATTCAAACTAGGTAAGACACATAATTTTATTTTATTACGCGAGCATAGCTGCTTGATTTTTAACATCGTCAATATACTTGTGTTCTTGAAAGTAAAATTGGCATGTTTCATATAACATTTATATACCTATAATTGATTTATTTCAGGCAATTTTTTTACGTTTTATTTTAGTTTTAAAATAGTTGTTTTACAATCAAACTTAATAATAATGTTCGCTTTTTTTAGACCTCAAATCTAACCGAAATAGACATGTCAATTGTAAAAGATTTGAATGAATGAGAACATTTGAACCGGGACATGTAAAAGTATTGGTAATTGCATTCTTCTGTTTTGAACAATCTGGTTTGACTAATCATACAATCTACAGAACCTTTTTAACTTGTGATTGGTGTGAATTTGATGAATTGATTTGGTGAAATTTCAATAGTTATATACACTACAACTATACAATACTGTTTTATCTTTCGTGGCACATGTATATAAGATATAAAAACTTTAAATTAATTAATTATTAAAGAATACTTTAAAATTTCAAACCAACTATGCAAAACATTTATGAATGTATTTGTTTGTGTTTGACTGAAAGACCATTGTAATTGTATTACTACACTCGTAAGGAATGCCTTGCTCTCATGATCTATGAAGAATAGAATTAGAACAAATACAGAACCATAGAGGAGAGCTGGTTTGAATAGGTCTCACAGATCATATTACTGAATCCAGAAATGGTCCATTTGTATGATCAACCTGAATAACCCTGTCAATGTGACAAATCAATACATGAATTATCGGGTTACTAGAAATAAATGAATGACACATGTCTAAACCTAAGATAGTGATTTCATTTTCTAAATTTTTTAAGTTGCCATCAAAAAGGAAAAAATTCCAAGTAAATATAAATTTTTTAATCATTCAATAGGATTTTTCTGTATCCCAAAATATGTTCAACATAATCTTTCCAGGAGATTGCCACTGCATCGACTTTAGCTTTGACTCAGGCTCTATGGTGAATCCAAGTCTCATCATTAGTTAGAGTTCAGGCACAGTTGTACAAAAGCTCGTGAGAACACTCACAAGGTCATGTTTTTAAAATGGAGCTTACATTCTAGGAACATATCTTGCACTGATTTAGTCATCCCAAGATGTTGGGTGTTTTGAACAGCTTGCATCTCCTGGTTTAGTGAGAAAAGTATTTGTGGTTGTGTGTATGTTCAATGTTCAAAGCAGGTTGGCAACTAAGGATTTTTTATTGTTTTGAGTAGTTATCTGGAAGATACTGCCACCCATCTCCTGTTTCATTTCCCTCTATTGCCTCTTACGACACCGTTACGTCGTCATTATACATTCGTGGATTATACTGTGAACAAATTATCAGTAGGAGCCTGGAGTCAGGTTGTTCCTGCATCTGATGAAATCCGACAACACCAAAAGGAGGTTGTGTAGGATTGCATCCCATTGGACTATGTAAGTGAGGGGATAGAGAATGCACCTGTATAATCCTATCCTGTGCAGATTACTGATCTCCTTGAAACTGGCCGCCGTGACCGAAATTCTAGAGGACATTAGTTACATAATTAAGGGTTTTAAAACCTGTAGTTTACAGTACAAGAATGGAGGAGTTATTCTGCACGAAAAGGATTCTTCTCTTCAATTATCGAGAACATCAAAGAAGATATCGCCAAAAACAAAGAGATGAAGGAAAATATTAAGAAGTTCAGAGAAGAAGCTCAGAGGCTTGAGAATTCCGAAGCGCTGCAGGCGGCACGAAGAAAGTTCCACGCAGTTGAATCAGAGGCCTCAAAAGGCTCGGAAGTTCTTAAAGATACTTTGGAAGGAATTAAGGGGAAAGTTGAGCATGTTTTGGAGGAGGCTAGTAAAACGGAGTTTGCTAAAAAAGCTGGTAAGTTTAGAAAAGTGCGTTTAAATATAATTTACCATGCTTTATGACGTAAGAAATTCTTTTTATTATTATTATTTTTAGGGTATTTTTGGAGTATTCTCATCTGGTTTTGCTGAATAAATATATAAAAGGAAGTGATAAATATACTTAATTATATATTGTTTTATACTAACATAAATAATTAAATAATACATAAATAAGAGCCCATCCAGATTGAAGACCTTAGCAGAGGAGACCAAAGGGCCGATGGTTAGGGGGAAAGGGAAAGTAACCAGAGGACGATGCGGGTGGTATCGAGGAACACCGCCTTCTGCGTTTGAGCCCAGAGCGGTCCGTCACGGAATCTCAGTTGCCTCAGATGACCAAAGAGGCTGACCGGGATTAGCCCGTTTCCAGAGACGACGTTACTTTGCAAACCACCCCACTTGTCGGTCACCTCATGAGCCAGATCCAGATATTTTCTTATCTGCTTCAGCTTTCACAAGGATCTCATCATCCGGAATCTAATGTCGAAAAAAACATCCTTTACTCTGCCTGGTCCATCAGCACAATATCAGGCTGTAGTCTGTAGAATCGTGGCTACTAGGTTGTGTTTGTGCAAATACTCTGAGTTGGAAAGCGCTGAACAACCGGAGATGACATGCCTAAGTGACTCACCAGGATGGTGACAAGCTCGACAGATGTGTGGACGTGCCATCCTTTAGCATGTATCTTCGATAGTTGTTCAGACAAAACCTTCGGTTTCCCCAAAGAGGTCACCAAAACCTAGCCAGTAAAGGGAGGTTACTGTATCTACAAAAGGCTCATGTTGAGCCTTGTAGAACCCTCCGTGGAGCTCTTTCTCCAAATAAGGAACAAAACCGGGACATCCTTGAGTTGCTTAGTCCCAGAATGGACATGTGCTATTTAAGAAAACAGTGTCCAGTCAGGGTTCTTGCCAGAATGCGCTATTTATTTTAACTTAATCCGGGATCAGGTCAGATCAGGGATCCTGAAGCGAATTTGCGATCAACGATCGAAAGCCCTGATTACCTTTTGATTGATTTTGGAATGTTTTAAGCCTGTATTAGACTAGATCTTAAATAATTTATTGTGATGAAGAGTTTCAAGAGTTAATTTGGGCTAGGCTTTTTGAGATTCCACAAAATGGCTCAGGTCCAAAATGTGTTTTCTTTGAGCACTCCTGTGTGAGCTTGTTTGCAAGTTCATTGCCTACAATTCCTGCTTGACCCGGGTCCCATTCTAACATGACCCTGTTTTTTTATCCCAGGGCGTTAATACGATTCACGCAGTCTCCAACTAGCTTCTAGTTCACCAAGTTTGATCTCAGCGCTAGCAATGCCAGTTGACTATCAGAGTTTATATAGATTATATGGTCGACATAATGCTTTTGAAGATTGATTTCCGCGCACTGAAGTAAGGCGATAATTTCTGTCTGGAATATAGAGGTGAATCTACCCAAATTCATACTAATTTTGAATTAGGAACATTTCCCATAAATTCCAAAGCCTACGTCGAGGCCCATTTTTGACACATTGGTATACCATACTATATAAGGCTGTCGACCTCACAGATAATCTGTCCATTCAACCAGCCTTCTTTGAAGGGTAGTTTCACTGTGTACTTTTTGTACCACAGACCACCCAGCCTACGAGACACGAAACCATTACGATTCTCTAATTAAATTAGTCTGTCAAAGTTAGAAGAAAGAAAGGTGTGCGGGCTGCGCGGGGACGTAACTGTAGCGAAATACACCGAAGCCTAAATCACTATATATAGAACATCTCCGAACTATTACACGGAGTGTTGGCCGCTTCCCGGGCAGAACATCTTGCCCGGCGGGAGATCTCCCCTTTTCCTTCCACGGCCACAGTGGTGACCCCGACGTGAACTGAACATGCAACCAAACAACCTTCGGAACTTCAAGCTTCATCATTGTCATAGAATACCCCACCCATTCGCTCACAAGGTTCATCGCAGCACTGGAATAATAGTGCTTCCTGTTCCTTCAAGCTACTCTCTGCGCTATACAGTGTTCGGCACGGCTCTGAGCCTTACTGCTCGCCTCTGCTTCACGGCACTCTCGCAGATTACTTGCCTTCTTCTCGACTCACCGCAGACTACAAGGCCTGGCACTTGCACATTCGTTGACAACGAGACTGCACTATCGACCTCCGGTCTGAGCAGAGGGGTGATGTAGCGGCGCTGTCGTCGCGCCACAAGCGAAATACACCGTAGCCTATATCATAAACAGTATATATAGAACATCTCCGAACTATCACATGGAGTGTTGGCCGCTCCCCGGGCAGAACACCTTGCCCGGCGGGAGATCTCCTCTTTTCCTTCCACGGCCACATAACTTAGAGATGTGTCACATTCATATATCGTACGCGTAAATATGGGAAACTATGAAAACGTAACGTAATTATAAACAAATAAATGATGCGTAAAATACACCTAAAAGTTCTTTAAAATATATACATGTTTGTTAAATGTCATTTACAACGCTAATTGCTTACCATAAATCCGTTAAGAGCGGAATGTGCCTAAGAATACACAAACATAATACATACTCTAGTATACTTGGTGTCGGCCTCGGCCGCGTCAGTCAAGTGAAAATATCTCCATTAGGTAAAATTAACATAATATAAAAATGTAAACGATAATTACCAAAATATAATACCTAATTGCTATACTTTGCGCATGCATTAGATTTACTGTCTGGTGATGAGAAGCAGATTTCGCGCTATTTTAAAAAAAGTATTATGGGCGATCGAATTTCACCAATGTTTTAATACTATAAAAGCAAACGTTTTCGTTCGTCAAAGTGCTATAGTTTCGGCAGGCAGTAGGGTGACTTCCTGATGAGAATCAGTTTTTGAAGACCTGGAGGTTTCTCTATACTTACTGTCACCCACCGATAAAACACCCCATAAATCATTTCTTGGAGTACAATTATGTCAATGAGTGAGCCAGTAAGTAAGTGGGTTTGTAAAACTGTAATTTCGATTTCAAATTATAATTGCAAATAGATTAATACACAAATATAATAGAATGACTGTTCTTTTACACAAAAAATAATAACACAATAAATAGTTGATAAACTTGCATCGATACTTTTTTGGGCATCTCTACTTACACGTGCCGCCTGCAGCCCCTCTGATTGATAGACAGAGACGCAACTATGATACTGCGTACTTGACAAGGACAGCCTCAGAAATACGACCAGAATACGTTGAACCCTCACATTACCTCACGTTTTTAGTATTTTAAGATTAATAATTGTTGCACTTACTGGTGAAACGTGATTTTATCCTTCTTGAAATTATGTTTCTTGCTTACACTACCACACCACTTTATTGCGTTAGTAGGCATGTTTAACTGCTTTTTATTTTAAAAAATTGTAGTGCTAAGGACGCTGTGCACTGGTCTGTTGTCTGGTCATTACTAAAAAGGATAACGTTCGTGTTCAACTATATAGGCTCTGGTTGAGCAGATGAAGTACAGAAATTTGTCGCCTTTCGTTACATGTCTCGTAGGTTGGGTGGTCTGTGTTTTGTATGCATATGTGAGATTACGCATAAGACCAGCGTTTTTTAATTGAGTTGAGCATGGATCTCAATCATCACAGTTGTCATTAAGCAGACTGTCTTTACTGTTTAGTATGTCCGCAGTCGTCTTCTAATTGCCCTTATTACACCAGTCCGTAGAGACGTAGGTATTGTACTATATTAGTTTGTTTTATTTAATTTGTAATATTGCGTACACCCACCCAAAATTAATCTGCTTTTTACTTAGCTCACAAATAAGATTAAATTTTTCTGTAAATTCTCGCTATAATTTATTACACTGTTTAAAAAAATGTTGACGGATTCCACTAACATAACAATTTCTGTTTTAGATATTTCTGAAGTAGAATATTTTAAAATGCGTGCAACAATCTGACTGAAAGCAAATAGCAGTTCTGTCAATGTAAAGTGTTGTACTAGATTCAACTTTAAGGGCCTTATCATACTAGCGGTTTGCAAACGGCTTCGGGGCGGAGCGGGCGCGAAGCGAATACGTCGCGGACGCGCAACGAATCCGCCGCGCATGCGCAGCGAATACGTCGCGGACGCGCAACAAGATCGCCGCGAATAGCAGCGTGGACGCCATTTTGTACACTCTCGTACAAACGCCAGCCCGTCCGCCCCGCCTCACTTCAGTTCAAAACGAGACACGAATGTGAGTGGTCGTATCATCATGGCATCGTTGGGAGATTCAGATATTGATACAGAGTTATTTATAAGTGAAATTCAAAGTCGTTACGTAATATGGGATCAAAAAAGAAGAGAATTTAGCGATCGTAATTTAAAAAAAAGCATGGGAAGAGATTTGCAATTTATTTATTCAAGGCTTTACGGAAAAAAACAGTCAAGGAGAAAAATGAACCAGGTAAGCGAAACACAATAATATTTATATGTACCTTAGCTGCCATGGTAATGCCTCGTCATTTGAAACAAAATAGTCGGCAAATTTATCTCTTATCGTAATACCTGAGAGTCTACAAACATTTTTACTAACGTGTAGGTTGTCATAAAGTCCAAATATTCGTGGTAGTTTCTTACGACGTCTTATATTACCTTAACTTAGATCGTACAAAATTATGCAATATACAACAAGTTTTGACAATTACTTCACCAAAGTCTATTCCAACATTTAATGGTCGATGAAAAATACGCCATTTATTAGTCATGATTCCAAAAGTGCACTCTATATATCTTCGTGCTCGGCTTAATAATTATATATTCTTTTTTTAGGCGTTAAATAGTTGCCGGCATAAGGTCGTTGCATGTACTTTGACAATGGAAATGCTTCGTCACCAATAAAAGTAAAGGGCAACGCTATTTCGTTGTTTGTTATTTTTTAGGTTGCGGGATTCTTCTATATCACTCTCAATTGGCTTCTGTCAAGTATAGTTGAATTGAACTTTTACCATAGGAACGGCATCAACATATATATTGTAGTTGGAGACACATGTAGCAAATTCATCGAAAAATCATTTTGTAGTAGAGGGTGGTAGTATGGTTTATCTCTAATATGTTTGGTTTGGGATTTTCTAGAAAGCCTTTACTAATGTTTTCCCAGTCTTCTGTTTGCTTGGGTGGCATACAAATATAAAATAAATTTTTAATAATAGCTTGACATGTCTCCCGAACTATTTTTTGTATTGTTGAAAATCCTCTTCTAAATGAAAAATGTAAGTCCATTAAAGAGCACCCAGTTGCCAAATATCTGAAATATTTTTTTGTTACAGTTGTTACATTGCAAAAGAGGTGGAAGGGTATCCGCGACGCCTACGTCAAAGATAGGAACAAAAAAATCAGGAGTGGCTCTGGTGCATCTACTTCTAAAGAATACTTGTATTCATATTTGCTTTAATTTTTGAATACTACTACTCAGACTCGAATGATGATACAAGAAATGTTACAAGAAGGAAGATGCAAGAAAAGATCTAATGATGCTGAGGATAAAATAATTACAAACTTATTGAAAAGGATGGAAGAGAGGATGAATAAAGACAAAAAAGTGGTGAATGTGAGCTTGAATATAACTTTGCGTTGTCTGTGGTTGAAGATTTAAAATAAATTCACCCAGAATATAAAATGGATGCTAAAATGGAGATCATGGGAGTTTTGAAAAAAATATAAGCATATGTCAATCCTCCAAACTATTCAGGATATTTTACAAGCCCAGAGCCACCCCGAAGTAATTCATTGCAACCAATTCTTCACCAAGTGTTTATGACGAGAACAGTAACGCTGAAGATACAATTTATAGTGATTTATTTTCAGAATAGTAATTTCCTAAATTTTGATGAAGTACCTCCTTTAAATCTGAAAATAATTGAATCGCAACTGTAAAACTACCCATTATGTTTTTTTTATTAGAGAGATTAACGAAAAATATTAAAGAAGTATTAATAATTATTTCCTGTGTATTTAATGTTTAAAACATACCTTATAGTAATTACGAGCCTTTCTTCAGGTGACACTGATAATCTCAAATGTGTGTCTTCATGTCTTAAGTCAGTTTGTATCAGATGCAACAACTCATAAAAAGTAGGTCTTGACATTCGCAGGTAGGAACGAAATTTTTTAGGATTATTTTTTACTCGTTTGCAAAACAACACAAAGTAGTCGCTCTCATCCAGTCAATTAATTGATAATGGATCCTCCCAAAATCGTCGATGCTTTCGTTTGCGTCTCCTGCGTCTTCGAAGTAACATAACCAACAGCAGTGTTTTCTCGTCGAAATCCATTTTGTTACTGAGTGTACTATACGTCGTAAACCCGCTGCGAACACGCAACGAAAACGTTGCGCGTACGCGACGTATTCGCTGCGCGGCCGCTCCGCCCCGAAGCCGTTAGCAAACCGCTAGTATGATAAGGCTCTAAGGCTAGTTTCGCTTTTAATTGGTTTCTAATCAAGTTCTTTTGTCATTTTTCAGGAAAAATAACTGAAGATATATCGAAAACAGCTAAAGACGCAGCTGAGAGTATAGCCGACAAGAGCCAGAAGCTTGGACAGACATCTGCTTTTAAGACTATATCACAGGTACATGCGCCATAATTTACAGCATAATAATGACAACATCAATAGAATTTTATTTTTATTAGAGTTATTACAGTAACTGAAGTGACATACAAACATACAGCCCACCTGACTGATGATGAGCGGCAACTGATTTTCATAGACTCCTGCAGATAACTTGAAACAGAGAAAGCTACCAATGCGTTTTCATATCTGAGAACTAAGATGGAATATTTGTTTATAGAATAAGGGTGACAAATGAGCACACAGTTCACCTGATGTTAAGTGGTTGCTGTCGCCCATAGACGTCTACATCTATCCGCGATTAAGAATCAAAACGCAGATGTGTTGTCACCCGTGAGGACTAATATAGAATGCCTCGTTTCCACTGAAAAAGGGTCTCCAGATCTATACATTCACCATACAAAACACAGCAGTATTAAGCTTCTATTTAACACTGGTATTCTGTGAGAGTGTGGTCATACTCTGGTCGAGCCGACCCATTCGTGCTACAACCATAATATAGCTGCAGCGTGGCTCTACCATCTATAAATGCCTAAAAATGCCTAACATCCTGTAATTACACTAGTTCTCTGTGTCGGGGCCGGAACACAGCAGTTCACCCATTATTATTTAGCAGCAGAAATAGGTAAGAGACATAGGCAAATTATTCAAAACCTTATTCCTTCTTGTACTAAGTTATATTAACTAGATAGTTCCTTTTATGCCTGAAAGGCTATCTGCCATCCTCTTATCTCTCCTGATGTCACAGAGTAACATTTCCTCCAACTACTTCCACTACATTAACATACTGCTACAATCAGTATGAATGGTAAAGAGTTTGTACAATTACTGCCTCCTTTCCAGTAAAAAGGGTCTCCGGTTCTTTACGCTCACCATAAAAAACACAGCAGCATTTAACTGCTATTTTATGCCGGTATTCTGTGAGTCCTTCTCCGGTCGAGCTGACCCATTCGTGCTACAACCATAGCATAGCATAACTGCAGCGTGCGTTTACCACGTAAAAAAGTACCACGTAAAAAGTTAGAGAAGTGTTAGTTCATTTGTCAGTCTCATATTGTATAGAAGGCTATATAATGCACCTCGTGGTATACAAGCCCAATATATATATATATATATATATATATATATATATATATATATATATATATATATATATATATATATATATATATATATATATATATTATTACGATTCCAGGCGACAGAAGTAGTAAAGAATGAGATGGCATCGCGAGGACTGGAGGGTCGAGTGTACACGTCGCCGATTGCACTGCGGAAACGGGTTGAGGTAAATTGCAACTAAATTTTGTGTATATATAAGTGTATATATAATGTAATAATTCTTTAGTTAAAATAATATTAATAATGACTATAATAAATAAATAAATATTGTTGCGCGCCTAAGTTGACGTCATGTACCCGGCACTAGCGCCACCTAGTGTCGGGTACGAGAGCGAGGGGAGCTTTCCAGAAAATGACATCACTAATCTTTCAACCGACAGCGCCATCTAGTATTGAAACAAGAACTAAGCTTCTAGAAGCCCGACACTCGAACTTTCGACGCCTTGTCGATTGGCGCGCGTATTTACTTGAATATTCTGGATGTTTCGGTGATAATGTGTATTTAAAGGCGCTGCAAGATGCGATCGGGGAAGTATTGAATTTGGCGAGACAAGCGAAGCTTCGGAGCGAAATAAAGTGAATCAGTGTGATTAATTATTAGTATTCTAAGTTTTAATTAGTGTAAAGTGAATTAAAGACTTAATTTTGGTAATTCTATCGGCAAATTTTATTGTCACGAACCTCAAGCTCGTAACAATTGGTGTCAGAAGTGGGATTAAATCTTGCCGATTTTACCTAAGGAGGAAACGGAGGATGGCCGTACCCGAAGTCAACGCCAGCAGGAGACGGACCAGAGACGATTTGGTGGTGCAACGCCGCAGACGTCATAGGGCCAACTGCCAGCCACGGAGGCTGGCCCGTCAGCTACTCCTACACCTGCAGCACCTGAATTAGGTGCTCTGATGGTGATGCTGCAGGAGCAGGCCCGTCGGTTGGAAGAGCAGCTGAAGCGCGGACAGGAGGAACAGGCGCGTCTGTTGAAAGAGCAACAGGAAGAACAGGCCCGTCGCTTAGAATAGCAGCTCAAATGCGATAGGGAAGAGCAGAAGCTTCTCATGATGGACCTTCACGCTACCTTCGGGAAAGAGATAAGGGAGGTGAAGGATAAGGTTGCTCAACATGATAACCGCCTGTCGGAAGCTGAGACCCAAATCAACCAAGTTAAGGAAACGCTGGATGAACTCAAACTTGGAGATGGAATTGCAGCCCCCGCAGTAGCTACAACACCTTCGCTACTTGGCTTCAAAGTGCCACCGTTCGACGGGACTTCTTCCTGGTCAGCTTACAAAGTCCAGTTTGAAGCTGTTATGAAGGCGAACGGCTGGAATAAAAGTCAGGCCATGACTGCTCTCACACTAGGCCTGCGCGACCAGGCCTTAACAGTTCTGGAAGCTCTCGGTGAGGAAATGACTTATGAGCAACTCCTTGAGGCATTGGAGGCGAGATATGGCGACCGTCACCTGGAACACGTCTTTCGTGCGCAGCTTAAAGATCGCGTGCAGCGCATTAACGAAAACCTGCAGCAGTGGGCTCTAGAGGTGGAGAAGCTGGTGCGAAAAGCATACCGGTCTGTACCTGCGCTCATTGAAGGGAACCTGGTGCAGACATTCATCGACGGCATCCGCGAATTGGAAGTCAGAGCTGCTGTGAGGCTCGGGCACCACGAGATGCTTAAGGACGCCTTGGCCCATGCACTGGAGGTAGAAGCCGTGCGGCAGGATCATCGTTCCCATCGCGTCAGGGAGGTTGCAGGTACAGTTCGCGAACGCAACAAAGGATTCAGCCCTAGGTGCTATGGCTGTGGGGAAAAGGGCCATCTTCGATCCAGCTGCTCTAAGCGAACCTTAGAAAGGGAAGGTGAACGATCTCAGGAGGGTAGTGCGGCCAACAGCACCGCCCAGCAGCAGCAGGGAAACAAGTAAAAGCCAGAACTGTGGGGCGGGTGCTGGCTGATGTTAAAAGAGCTCCAAGGATCTCGATCTCACAAACCCATGATGGGAACAGTCTAATCATCAAGGGCGAGGTCAAGGGAATGCCGTGTAAACTGACCATAGACACTGGAGCCTCTCGTACAGTTGTTAGTTTCCAACTTATAAGTCAGTTCCTTGGGGACTCCTCATATAACCAGGAACGCATTAATTTGGTAACAGCCACTGGTCAGCGTATATCCGTCCGTGGAGTGAAGGATATGAAGTTGAAGCTAGGCAACGTGATCTACCTGCATAATGTCATCGTGGCTGATATAATGGACGACTGCATCCTGGGCCTAGACTTTATGAGGAATAACTGTTGTGAAATCGACGTTAAGAAAGGTGTTTTGAAATGTGGACAGGAGGAACTTTTTATGGAAGGTGCGTTACCAGGGAATGTGTACAGCATTAAGAAGATTGTTCTTCCGCCGAGATCGGAAATGATTGTTCCGGTTAGTCTTCTTCGAAATGCTGGGCAAGCTCACCGTTGTGTACTTGTGGAAAAGGTAAACAATGACCTTCCATGGAAAGTAGCTCGAACCTTGGTCAGAACCACTGACATCTCAGGAGTACGTGTGCTGAACCTTTGTGACCGGGAACAGGTTATAGAAAAAGGCACGCTGGTTGGTACTTGTGAGGAAGTGGATTGGTTACGTCGGTGCCAATATATATCGAGTGAGACCCCCAGCAAGATGCACAAACCACACTTTTGGAAGACTGTCGCAGCGTTCTCTCCCCGACCGAAATGGTCAAGGCGAAGAAGTTGTTACTCAGGTATGCCGATGTATTCTCATCAAACGATGCTGACATAGGAAAGACTGGCTTAGTTCAACACAAAATAAACACAGGAGAAGAATTGCCTATCCGTCAGCGGCCAAGAAGATTGCCGGTAGCACGTGAAAAGGAAGTGTAAACCATGATTGAAGGAATGGTGAAGGATGGTGTTATTGAACCTTCCTCTAGTCCATGGTGTTTACCAGCGGTGCTGGTAAAGAAGAAGGATGGCAGCATGCGGTTTTGTGTTGACTACCGCCGTCTGAACGACGTTACGAAGAAGGACAGCTATCCCTTGCCAAGAATTGATGACACGCTGGACATGCTTACAGGAGTAAAGTGGTTTAGCATGCTGGATCTAAAAAGTGGCTACTGGCAAGTTGAAATTGACCCTAAGGACAAGGAGAAAACTGCGTTCTCGATGGGAAAGGGTCTGTGGCAATTTAAAGTAATGCCGTTTGGGTTGTGCAATGCTCCAGCAACGTTTGAAAGGCTGATGGAACTTGTACTTACCGGGCTAATTGGCGATGCCTGTCTGGTATACTTGGATGACATCATCATCGTAGGCCGTACGTTTGAGGAACACCTTCAAAACCTGGAATGCGTGCTCATGAAGATTCAGAGTGCCAACCTCAAGTTGAGTCCAAAGAAATGTTCACTATTCAAACGGCAAGTTAACTTTTTTGGGGTATGTTGTATCGGAAGAAGGTATCCGCACGGATCCAGAGAAAATCGCCGCTGTCAAGGATTGGCCGGTTCCAAAAGACAAGACGTAGGTTAGAGCATTTTTGGGTTTGTGCTCCTATTACCGACGATTTGTGAAGAACTTTGCAGATATAGCCAAACCTCTGCATAAGCTAACCGAGGAGAAGCGACATTTCTGCTGGGATGAAAGTTGCAGTATCGCATTCCAGGAGCTCAAAGACCGTCTGTGCAAAACACCTATTTTGGGATACCCTCATACAAGCAAAGAATTTATAGTTGACACAGACGCAAGTGATACTTGGGGTGTGTCTATCCAAGAGGTCGTGATAGCGTACTTCATCAAGTCGTTGTCAAAACCGGAAAGGAACTATTGTGTCACAAGACGCGAATTGCTCGCTGTGGTAAAGTCGTTGCAGCATTTTAGCAAATATCTTCTGGGGCGAAAATTTCACTTACGAACTGACCATGCTGCACTAAAATGGCTATTGCAGTTTAAAAATCCAGAAGGTCAAGTTGCGAGGTGGATTGGACTACTGCAGGAATACGACTTTGAGATCGAACATCGCAGTGGGAAATCTCATGGCAACGCAGATGCATTGTCAAGAAGACCTTGTCCTGAAGATTGCAGACATTGTACTAGGCAAGAGAGTAAGGAAGTGGTATCCGTGAGGATGCTCAGGGCAGACCACCTCAGCAACGAGTGGAAGGACAGCTTACAACGTGCACAGCAGGAAGATCCGGACATCAAGCCGATTCTGCAATGGATGAAGGTCAGTGCTCCCAAGCCCAAGTGGAGCGACGTCTCAGCGATGAGTTCGACCACTAAAAGCTATTGGGGCCAGTGGGACAGCTTGCTGCTTCAGGATGGAGTTCTGTAAATGGGAAATGTTCGGGGAGAGCTGTCATTTGCAAATGGTTGTCCCTAAAGCTAAAGTACCAGATGTTCTACAGCTGTACCATAATGATTATTCAGGAGGCCATCTGGGAGTTAAACGAACTCTACTGAAGATCTGAGAACGGTTTTACTGGGTCCACTGTCGAAACGATGTCGAGGACTGGTGTCGCAAATGTACAAGTTGTGCGGCTGTAAAGGGACCTCAGACCCGTAGTAGAGGTGCATTGAAGTTGTACAATGTTGGTGCACCATGGGAGAGAATAGCCATTGACGTGGCGGGGCCGTTTCCGGAGAGTGAAAGCGGTAACAAGTATTTCATGGTTGTGATGGATTACTTCACTAAGTGGCCAGAAGTCTTGGCCATTCCAAATCAAGAAGCTTCAACAGTTGCAGATAAACTAGTTCATGAAGTCTTCTGTCGTTTTGGAGTACCTTTAGAGATTCACAGCGATCAAGGAAGGAATTTTGAGTCTCAAATATTCCAGGAAACTTGCCGAGTTATGGGTACTCATAAAACAAGAACGACTGCTTATCACCCGCAATCTGATGGAATGGTAGAACGATTTAATCAGACATTGGAGAGGTACCTAGCAAAAGTTGTAGACAATCGGCAACGAGATTGGGACAAGCACATACAACAGTTTTTGTTGTCATATCGAAGCGCTGTTCACGAAAGTACAGCAGTGACATCAGCTTTCGCAAACTTTGGATGAGAATTACGGCTGCCTGCAGACCTGATCACCGGGATACCACCTGATGCCCCACGCAGTATAATCGATTATGCAAATGACTTGCGTAACAAAATGAATGACATTTATGAGC